TTTGCCTGACACACTGGTACTGACCTCAAACTGATTTGTGTGTGAAAGCAGTTTGGGTGGGAGAAGAGGGAGAAGGAAGGTTTACTCAAATAGTGAGAGCATGCAGAACAGGTATATAATATAGCAAGCTCATGAAGATTTACAGAAGAGCGTGTTTCTCTAACCAGTGAAATGCTTGTGCTGCCTGACCTCCTTCATAGTTCTGGTCTTTGTTCTCAGTCTGAGCAAGATCACCGTGTTTTTGAGTCCAAGAAATTGGCTTCATTCTTTCTGAGAATATGTTTCCAGGCTTGACTTACAGGATATGGTCTCCTTTGACTGCTGTTCTCCTATTCCAGCACGTTTTTCAGCTCAGTGATGTCAGTTTGGCTCTAGGTGTTTCCCCTTGGCCCTCATCCTCAGTTTCCCTAAAAATCTAGGCTGTGTGCACTGAAGAGGAAGCATGCTTAAACTGAGAATCAGAATTCTGTCATGGAGCCTTTCTGTGTCAATCATGTTTAAGTCGGAGATGAGCCTTGTGTGAAGGAGGATTGTGGGATCAGGGTTTGTCAGTGGTCAAAGTTAAATCTCCTTTGTGACAGGACAAAGCCCAATGTTAGGAAGGCAGCGTGCTTGTTGCAGACCTTAGATTTGTCTGGGTCCAAGCTTACTTAGACGTAACAGGCTTCAGAATTAGCCTGCACCACATGTGGCCTCTTTTCTTAAACATTCTCTGGGTGGCAGCTGCTGTTGTAGCATCTTCTCAAATATAAATCAAGTCCAAGTATACTTGCACTTGTAGTTTTGATTTCCTTCTTAACCTAAACAGGAACAGGAATCTGTCAAAGGCTGGCATTATGCTAACTTGTGCCTGACAGTACTTTTCCTCTCACTTCCACTTCTTCCATAACACCTAGGGTCTAAACACATTTCTGCCTCTCTAAATTATTCTCAGTGTCTTTTTAGTTTGTCAGTCCTAACCCAGAAAGTAAAGGTGAACTTCAGTGGTTTTGTCAAAGCTTGAATCTGCATGGAATAGAAAATAGAGAGTTGGTTGTAAGTGACAGACTGGTTTTGTCGACATGTCTATAGGCTTTCTAAGACTTAGTGGTAGCAAATGTGATAGCGTTATGTTTCGGTAAGATTTGGAGGTCTCCTGCCCCTTGCCCCACCAGGTCCCAGCCCCTAAAAGTGAATGGTTTGCACACTGCCCTTGAAGGGGCTGGCTCTGCTGTTGGACGCAGTTGTATTACAGGAGTTCGTTAGACCATCCTTCTGCTATGCCAAGCTCCAAAAGAGTATCTTGCTTATATAACGACTTCACTTTTTTGGAGGAGAGGTTGTTTTTGTTGTTGGTTACAAAAACGCCCTGGTGGTGAAATGCAAGCTTATTGATAAGGTGGCCTTTTTCTTCTTTTAAAAAGGATTTTAGCATTGGGATAGTAATGGAAACCACTTTAGGTTTGTTTATGGACCACAAAGATTATGGAGGAACAAATTTTGCCTTTTTTTTTTTTGTAAATCTAAAAATCATGGATCTGCTGTATGTAGTTAACTTGCAGCTTGTTTGAAGGGGTCCCATCAGTGAAGTGGAAACAGATTTTTTTTAACTGACTGCTTTTAGTTAAATCTAAAAATGCTGTCTTTGTCAAGTTAATCTGTTCCCTGCCTCGCTCTTTGTAAGCATGTTAAACAATCCACATTAAATGCCATAAATATGAAATATGAGGAAATGGTACAATCCTAAGCTAAAGAGAACTTAAACCAAAAGGAGGTTTTGCTGTCCTTATTAGAATGTTCTAAAATGTCAAGGCAGTTGCTTGTGTTTAACTGTGAACAAATAAAATGTATTGTTTTGCACTACTCTCTGTTCAATTCCCTGCAAGCTGGCCTCTCTGGGACTGAGCTGTGACAAAACATGCAGAAACAAATCCAGTATCGAAGCGTCTTCTAAAATCCGAGCGCTACAATAGATAAATGCTTCTGCCCTTTCTGAGTTGGGGTTCCTTGTTATAAGCTTGTTTTTCTGTATGGCGCCAATGGCTTTTTTGTTTTGTGAAAAGAAACATCAATGATGACATGACAATATAATCCATAATTTAATTTCAAACAGTTCAGTAATGTAAATCAGCATATTAGCTCTCTGTATGGCATTGTTCGTTTAGTCTAGAGACTAAATAGTGATTAGACAAATTAACGGATGAAAATGTCAAAGACTTTCTTGCAATGCTGAGGGTACTGGCAGAAGCTGGAAGGCTCACTGTTTAAGCGTATACACGCTTTTCTTTTTTGTGCCCTACTTAAGTGTCACTATGCACACAGAAAGACGTTTCTCAAACCAAGGGATTTTTTTTTTCTTTCCGGACTGGCACTTGCTTACAAATTTCCTTCTAAAAATAAATGAAAACTTGAAAGGTGGCTTGAAGCAATTTAAAAATTCAAGTATGAATTCAAGCATTTCGATTAAGGACTAAGTGTAATTTTTTTAAATGTGAACAACAAGTGCAAGGAGGTGGTAAGAATGACATAAAGTCTGTATGTGAAGATACTGTGGCTGAATTTATTGTATTTATGTAGAATTTTATACAAAAGTTGCTCTGAATGTTATATTGGGGTTAGGTGATACAGAAAGCTGTTTCTGAGCCTTCTGCGTTGGGATGAGTTTTACAACGTGTCGTAAACGAAAGGAAAACGAAGCAGAAAGTGAATTTCACTTGCTCTTACCTTTTTTTTTAAATATATTTTGCATATCCCAGTAGAAGCTTAGCATTGAAAAGCTGCACTCACTAGTATAAAAATAATTAAATATAAATTTTTACCCACAGAAGCAAGTCCACAGAGGTATAAAAAGAGAAAAATAAAGGACTTTCCTTACTCTCTAATGCTAAGTAGTTCACAAACACAGCATGTAAATAATAAACATTCTGTAGACATTAGGGAAGGAAATACTTTAAATTCAGGAAGTAAAATTAATGATCTTTGATTAATCTTGATTAGTTGCATTTACTCAGCTACTGGTGCGATGGCTTGGATTTTAAAAACAAGTTGTTACAAAATAGTTTAGAAAATTGACAAGAGTTGAACTGCCTTCTTCATACACTCATACAAGCGAGGGATTTGCTGATAAAAGCTTAGCTAAGATTCAGGTTTTACTTTTGAGACAAATTCTTACTCCACATAACTTTGACTGATAGTTTTCATGTTGTTGGTGTCTGTGAGCTTTGGCAAAACTTTGTTGTTGGCACCCTCTTCTAATCCCTGTATGCTCTCTAGTTTTGGACTCCATTGGTAATCTTTAATGTCTGCCAAATCCTATTTATGGTTTCTTCAACAGGGTGTGCACTCTCTCCATCTTACCAGCACAGCGCAACTACAAAGTGTTTGTGAAACAGCAAGCCAATTGAACCGGGTTGTGAAGAGCAGCTCGCTTTTCTGAAATTACAGCTACTTATAAAAAGCACTATGAGTGGATGGCACCCCAGCTGGCTTAGTATCTTGGGAAAACAACCAGGGATACTACTACTGCAGTAGTTTGTGTGAGGTTTTTTTTTTTTCCCCTTAGGTGAAATAAACATTAAAAAGCATGTTTAAATTCAGGATTGAGGATTTGGAACAGTAGCAGGATTTTTGAAACTTTTTTTAAATTTCCTTTAAGAGCCTTTGCTGTACCTGCTGGATCCTATTGTGAGAGCGCATTGCTGGTACTGATATGTGGGACAGAATCGGGAGGGCCCCGACCCTGGAGTGCTTGTGCACTCTGGAGAGGAATGACAGGGCTGTAGTTAAATCCGATGCAGTTTGACAGCACTGAGGAACAAACGCTTGCTTTGGCTGCTGCCTTGCATTCCACAGTGTTTCCCAAACCTGACCGCTAGAGGCCCCAGTAAGTCTGCCACTTCGGTCAGCGTTTGCTTGTATTGTTTTGAGGGGATGCTGCGTATCCGCTCTCGCTTGAATTGCCCCCTCTCCTTTCCTCAAGATTCCACTACGCTACCTAACACTCGATCTTAGCTTCTTGGGTTATGAACAATGTTCCACTGGTTATAGTATCTCAAATGATGAAACAGTTGTTTAACTTACAGAAACTTTGGGCCTGGTTACAAATTGACAAAAGCCTGGTTTGACCCTTAGCCAAATCAGGGGAAGCACAGAAGTCATTTATTGCCAACAGAGGGCAGGATTCTGCTGAGATGATCCACAACCAGCCTGTATTTCTATTCCAGTCTTGGAAAGAAAAAGCGTGTATTTATTTTCTGGGCCACCTGACAGATCTCCAGGTAAGTCAGTTTGGTGCCCTGCCTGGTTTCCAAGTGTGTATCTAGCAATTTTATGTTCACAGGGGTTAAAGTAAAACTTTATTGCACTTCTATGTTTGGCATTTACATCCTGTTTATGTAAATTCTTCAAACAACTTGATTTGTAGTAGAGAAAAACAATTCCTAAAAAAATTCCTGCTGTATATTTTTGTCTTTTGAAGTGTCCATCCATTCTGGAAGAGGAGAACTTGTATGGAAATTAAGTAATTTGTCTAGGTGTTTTTGTGAGACTTAGCTTTGCAGTCTTCCAACAGATTCTGGTCATGTCATTACCAATCTTCAGAATGCAAATTTTATACACTCATTTTTCTGCTTGTGTCTTAACATTTTGGCTGTATAAGACTGATTGAAAGCATAGGGCTAGGTTGGAAATTCTTACAAAAGTTTGGCAAGTGCATGTTTCTTGCATGTATCACAACCCCTGTCAAGTGCTAATGAACAGCTCAATTATCATGTTGAACTGCAGGACTGGGAAGAAGGTTACACAAGATTTGATGGGACTATCTGACAAGCAATTTGTGTCGCAGCTATGGAAGCTGTGAAAGTGAACTACAAACTGGAGAATAATTTTGGTCTGTGAGCCTGCGTATTCAAACTTAAGCTATATGGTAGTTAGGGTTTTAGGAATGCAGGAAACAAGATCTGGGAATAATGTCCCTTCTGTCTCGACACTTGTCTTCTGTTAGTCCACGTAGTATGTACTTGGTTTAAAAAAACCTTTCCAAGCCAGCAACTGTCACTGGGCACTTGTCTTTGCAACATGAAACACAACAGGGCAGCTGCAAGTGGTTTTTGTTTTTGTTTTGGTTTGGGTTTTTTTTTGCCTCCTCTCTCTTACTAAAGCTGCCTCTGCAACATGGCTCTCGGAGCCTGAGATAAGGCAGGTCAGTTTTTGCTGGCTGTGACCTGTTAGTACCTAAAAGTGACCTTGGCTAGCTTCATTATCGTTTTGAGTTCACCAAGTGTCAGTTTAATTAGATCATGTCTCCTAAAAAATAGTTCTCTGTTCCAGAGCAGATATATTTTATATTAGCATGTGTGGATGGGGGGGGCGGGAGGGGAGGAAACAAAGTGCAAAAGAAGGTGAGGTTATGAGAGGAATAAAAGTGCTCTTGAAAATACTTCTTCCATCTGAGCTACCGTTCCTTCCTATGCTGCCTCTTCTATATCAAGTCTCCCTTCTCTTTGGCTGCTTGTTGCCAAAATCTGGTCATCTTAAGGCAAAAGCATTTGCAGGGCTTTAGCAAACTGAGCCAGATTTGCATGGGGAAATTGTTTATTCAGGTGTGTCTTCCAGCAGGAGGCAAAGAACAGGAGCTAATTTGCCTGTGGAGGGGGAAAAGAGCAATCAGATACAGGGAAGACACTGCACTATTGAGATCTTAAGTTGGTAGTTAACAGTGCTTGAATAAAAAGCAGCACACAGAAGATGCATATTGGCTCCAGGGAATGGGGGAGAGCCTGTGACGCTGCTGTGCAGCTGGGAAAGCAAGCTGTTTTCAGAGACACTGGTATAAAGTCAGTGGCTAGAAATGCAAAGTACCGTTATAAAACCAGCATGAGACTATTTCAAATGCCTTGCAGTTTTAATGAACTAAGCCTCATAACATCCTTGAGAGCTAGGCAAGCTGGATACTCGTCTTGAAAAAGTGAAAGGACAGACATTTTAACATGCAGTTGGAAGGGGAAACCAACTGAAAATGGCCACAGCTTTCTTGATCCATCTGCTCCCACCAGAATCTCATGAATCTTGACTAATAGAAATGACTTCCTACTGTCAGCCTTGCAGAGCTCCAGAAAGGAGAGGGGGGTTTTATCCAAGTTCAGATACTGTCAATAAACCAAACTAAGTGCAACATGAAATTTGTCCTTTATGTCTCTGTAGCCCTACTTGACAGCAAAGGATTCCAACAGACATAAGGGAGGATGTTCAGAGCGGTATCTACCGTTGGCGTGAGATCCTGCAGGAAGGATCCAGCAGACCCCAACCAGTGTGGTTAAAGAATGCTGACCTTTCTGCAGCCAGCAGCATGTAAGGGAGACATGATTAGTATTCTGTCTTGTCAGCTTTGAGTCTTTGCTCCAAATGACCAGGCATTTTCAGTGGGATCAGCTGCAGTGAGGGAACTTTAGCAATAAGCTAGTGTGAATCTCAAATGAACTTCTGAATCCATACAAGAGGCCTTTGCTGCTTGTATGGATAACGCAGGTTATTCATACCTCTGGCTTGGAGAGTGAGCAGAAAAGTCTGAGAGGAAATCTAAAATCCCCCCTCAAGTAACTTGCCCAAGATTCATTATCTGAGAGATTAAAATCTGATTAGGCCTGACTCTTCCCTGCTCTCACCACAAGGCTTGTCAAAGGGAGCATACGTGATGCAACTAGTTCTGTTGCGACGAGTTTTAGGAGGAGAGTAGAAATAAAAGCATGGGAAAGGAGTATTTTTCTGCCAAAGGCTAGGTTACAGGACTATTTCTTCAGAATTTGGATTTAGATAGGGAAGATCTCTAGTGTTTGTTTTTGCTATCTTTAATCAGCCACCTTTATGCAAAAGATGCAAGAACTCTGCCCCTTTAAAAAGCATGTCGACCAGGTGGCTTCCAGGGACCCTTGAGTTTCCCACTGTGATTTTCTGTGCCAGTCAGGTGCTTCTTTCTGACATGCTTGCTTCCCTGTACTTGTACACAATCTTTGTTACTAACTGAGGTCTGAGCTCTAAGGTGGACAGAAGGTGGTTTGGGGGAAATGGCTGCCCTAGCTGGTACATCCTGGGCTGCCTTTTTCTCAGAGATAGCACTTCCACCACTCACGTTACACAGCATGTGCCGTGGCAGCTTCTCAGTGTGGGCTACCCACTCCTTCACGCAGTCTAGAACGATGGGGATGAGGCTCACTACACCTCCATAATGATTCTTTGCTTCATTGCAGCTCAGGTGATTCACAACATCATGGGGGTATCTGTGGGAGAGAAGGAAACATCTACCGGAGTAGTCCTAGCAATCCACCCTGGTGCCCCCACCAGGGCCACGCTGAGATCCACTGAGAAGAGCAGAAAGGCACAGACAGCGTTTCCTTTCCCTCTGCCCCGCCCAAAACAAAAGGCACTGATAAAATACAAGATCTTGTGAAATAAGTCATACCAAACACATGACATCCTGGCTGTTAGGCTAGATCTGGAGGAATTCAAGAGCATGTACAATCCCTTGCCCCACAGAAATTAACTACATTCAGCGCAGGAGTGGCGGGGAGGTGGAGACAAACTGCCTTACGTGCATGTGACTTCAGGGTACTAACTGGCCTTTATATGCCCTTCCGTCCACCAGGAAAACAAACCAAAAAAAACCCTGTTGTGAACAGAGGTTGGTGCTGTTTTCCCTGTTACTATTCAAGAAGCAGCGGCAATACTAAACAGAGGAACACCATCTCCTCTCACTAAAACTAGAAAGGTGTTGTGACAAAACCTGATGGAGAAGTTAAGTGGGAATATACATTCTTGTGACAGTCCCCCAGTATTGTCAATTGTCTCAAAGAAACTGAGCAGATGGAGAGACCTACTTAGCTCGGATGGCGCTCAGATCATTGCTGTGGCTAAGGAGCAGCTTGCATCTTTCCAAAATGCCATTGGTTACGCTGTTACCAGGATGCAGGGTTTCCAGGTTCTGGCAGAGCCTGCTTAGGTCGTTACAGATGTTCAGGAACATGCTGAGGATACGCCGGTCAGTGGAATTGTTACAGTGATGGTCCATGTAGGACTGTACCTGTGCAGTGCAATATGGGGAAAGACAGGGTCATGCATATTAAACTGCATTGAGATAAGCTGTGAAGTCGCTAGAGCAGTGTTTCTTGAAGCACGTAGCTTGTTAGTGACAGGAAGCTGCTTTCCCTGTATGAGTGAGCCACAACGAAAACTGCAATACAGAGGCAGGTAGCAAGATTTCTTTAGCATGCCTAAGATGTTTGCTCATAGTTCATCACAACTGCAGAAGGCTGGGGTACTGGATCTGATCTGCTCTTCAGCACACCAGTGAGCCTTCCTTCCCTCCTTGAAGAAGTGTAGGACTGCTGCAAGCACTTCAGAAACAGGTTGGGTACGAGGGGACAATTTCCTCTGTGCTCTGAGCAGTGCACACTGCTGTGGCCACAGCTGCTTAGGCAGACCAGGGAGGGAGATCAGGGCAGCAGCTGAACTGTAAACGTTTTGGAGTAAAAGGGTGGCTGTATTTGCATATAGTTCTTCATTTGGCACCACTAGCTGTGACTGCAAAACTAAAACCATTTAACCTAAGTTGTCCTTCTTAACTCATTAGAGCAATGTTATACCCTGTTTGCCTTGAAGGTTTCTCTTACTAAGAGCGAATGGCATTGCACGATGAAACATTATGCCAGGGATTAAGTACTTTTGCCAGAGAAATTACAGGTACTTCAGACATGAGTCATCAGAATACAAAACAGAGCGGCTGGTTTGTGATCATAGCTGAATTCTTATACCTTCAGCACTTTCCTTAAGATTTCAAGATAAGCATGAACTCACTGTTCCAACGTCAATACCATTTGCGCATACAGAAAAGCCACACGATGTACTCGGGCAAATTCTCTGCAGGTTTGTAAGAAAAGTAAAAATGGCTCCTAAGGGTCCATTTCCACTACAGCGTCCTCATTCCACGCTATTCTCTCAGTGTGTGTCCATGTGAGGGGCAGGATTTTTTTATTGCTGCAGTGAGCAGAAACAGTCCTAAAGAGAATAGCATTTTTAGCCTAGGTGTTCATTAATGGGATTACAGGACTTCTTTTTGTCCATATCAACCAGCAGAGAGTTAGTGCCCCTGCATAACCAGAGTGAGGAACCAAGTCACTGGGATCACTGTTGAAGCATCTCCGCGCACTACGTGAACAGCAGTTTGCAAGGACTGCCCAGGCTTGGGTTCGCCAACCTCTGCTCCTGAGCTGCAGCCAGCGGAGCTCAGGGACAGCTCCTATGCTGGGCTGATGCCTTGACTGCAGCAAGGCTCTGCAGTGCGGGGAGTTGCTCTGTTGTTTGAATCTCTGGCCGAAACAAGTCAATGAGGAGTTTGTGTCACAAATCAGGACTTCACTTTATACCCTATTCCATGCAGAAGTCATTTAGGAGCTGTTGCCATTGCATGCTGTGGTGCTATTTGCCCCTGCTTCATCACTCGAAAGTGAAAAGGCTTTTACATTCAGCTTTTGGGGTCAAAGGCAGACTTTTTCCCATCTAGGTACAATATATTTTTTTGTAGAGTAGTTTCTATGTTTAAATTCCAAGGAAGTGGCTGCATTTGACCAGCTGGCAGTGAAAGTGGCTTTAGGCTGAGAGCACAGGTACTTCTCTATTTCTTGCTTCTATTCATGCACTTCTCCATGCAGGGTTCAAAGTCAGCCTTCAACAAACCACCAGTCTACTTCTGTGTCCTAATCCTAATGACCACTTGGCTTTCACTCTGGCTTTGGCATGCAACAATTCTAATTTTTTTTAGAGCACTGAAAGACAAAGGCAGAAGAAAAATCTAAGTTTTTTGCACTACTCAAAACATCCCATGTTATAAAAATTCCAAGACAATTCACTGACCAGCCCAGAAAACCCCTAGCCCACTTGGGACTTTCAGCCCTCAATCCATCATGCTACCTCTGTAACACAGCCATTATTTTTAATAAGCACTATAGAAGGACAGAGCAGCACCAATACCAGGGGGAAGAGGGAGGCATGCTGGTTACAACAAATTAAGGTTTACAGATTCCATGTGTGACTGGGGAAGGAGGCTTGGTTTGATTGTTTTCTTGTACCCTGTATTTCTGGCTATGCCGAGGCAGGGAAATGAGTGTCAAACTAAATCATGAAGTGATGCTGAGCACTATAATTTCTTCTCTGTAAATGGGAAAGTCTAACGTAGATGTTTCTTCCCTCCGCTTAATCTTTTACCACTGTTTTGTAGAGTTACGCACAGTGTTACTGGAGAGGTTTGTGCATCTTCCTCTAGTAAAAACACTTACTCATCACTGAACTAGATTCAAGCGCGTGACAGCATTATGTTGCTCCCTACTCCCATCAGCAGCAAACTTTGTGCTGAATACTTTGTACCTGTCTGATGCTTGCCACAGGTCTGATCATGTCATGTGCATTCTCTCGGGTGCGTTGCAGTGCTGTGATAAATGTAAACTGCTGCTGCTGGAAGAGCCTGTAGTTCTGTTCTATGTTTCTTAGGGTCTCCTTTACCTCATTCATGTTTTCCCCTTCCTGGATTTTGGGAGAGAAGGAGAGAATGATAGAATGACAGAATTCTACATATGAAACTCTACGTTTCACCCGAGTTGGAACCGTGTAGGTCTAGTTGAAAACTAAAAAAAGAAAAAAAAATTAAAAAAAGCAAGAGGAGAAGATCTATCGTGTCAAAGCTCTGCAGTCCCAGAGCCCCAAACAGTAAGTCAATGAGGTAGTAACGATGCTGCAAAAAGAGGTAGAGAACCCAGAAGGGACCACTGACAATCAGATGCCATAAACCCTAGTGGGTCTGTTGTAAACATAATGTAGCAATGCATCAAACACAACGCTGTGAAAGGACCGAGGGGAGAAATGTTTTTCTCTTAGCCGGTGTAAAGCTATTGCCCAAGTGGCTTAAAAACTCTATCATTAAATGAAGGCTGGCTTGAGAGGCGGTATAGCGTCACAGGGGGAGGTGGGGAGAGCTGGGTCCGTGGTGACCCCCTGTCCCTCTGCCCGGGGTTTGGGGGCCGGCACGGGGTCCCG